AGTTGTGTTTGAGTGTAGACCTGTGAAGTTAGACGTATAATCGTGACATAGTTGTTCCCTTGTTCTAACCTCGCTCTTAATGCTGCTCGTGATCTTTCCTCTATTCCAACCACAACCACTGTGGAGACAAGAGTGGTGATCCTATGATGAACAGTCAGCCAGACGAGGAGACTCTCGACTTCTCGAGTTCTAGGTTTGTAATGCGCGGATGTGGTAGACGTGGCATGTCCTAGTGATAAAATGCAGTCGAAACTATTCACCGATTACTGTCCACGTTTGAGTGCTACTGTGGAGGCAGTGCATTTTGCGCTTGAATTGGTTCTCGTATACGAATTCAGTGTCCGTGTGTTGGTTTGGCGGTGTGGAGTTGTCAGCTTGACTATCGTCAATTGGCCTTTTCACGTGGTGTGGACGTGTCAAGTCAACACTTCCTCAGGGTTTGGATGCCTTCAAATCAGTCTAGTACTGCCCATCACAGGTCAGTTGGCGAGACTGGAAATGAGAGTACTTGGCAAATGCACAGTGGATGCACTCCTTGTGTGCCGATTTGACGTGGTATGCCGCCGATAGGATGAATACCGTTGCGATCTTGTCGTAGGTCCACTTTTCACTGTTGTTATTGCAGCTCTCATGTTAGTTCCCAATGCGGTTATAGGATGTGCAGGTACAGTATTCGACGTTGAAGACATTATAGAAGGGTGTAAGTCTGATGGTACGTAAGTGGGAAGCAACCTATGCGGAATCACTTTGGTGGTAAATCGCAAATGTTGCGGAATAATAACTATATTGACTGGCGCTTGAAGAGCGCTGTCTCATGTTCAGCTCTGCTACTAGACTTCAATGACCGTTATTGCGTTTCACTTTCCTATTTCCGAAGCGGTTTCTGAAAGGCACAATAAGTGATATAAGCGTGGAGCATTTCAGAGTTCATGGTAGGCACATGTTGTGTGTTCAAATGGGATGTTCGCCGAAGCGAGCTATTGCCTGGCGTATTGTAGAGGCCTTACTGGTACAAAGTGTCGTGGAATGCACGTCATGTGGCTTAGTTCTGACGTCTGTTTCAGAGATGCCAGTAAGTGCCTACTGTTACTAGATGATATTAAAGCACATCTTTTAAACCCATAAGCTGATTCGGTTTTGGTTATTAATTTGAATATATATTGAATGGGGTCTTACCTTTGGGGTACTCTGTGTGCT